GGGTGTCAATTCCCCTGGAGCTGGAGTTACAGACAGTTGTGAGCTACCACATGGGTGCTAGGACTAGCATCTGGGTCCTCTGGAAGAGCAGCCAGCTCTCTTCAGCTGCTGAGCTCTTCAGCCTCTCCTTGTCTCATCTTAAAGGGAGAAGTGAATGAAGCACTTTTCCTAAGAAATTGGGAGATTAACGTGGGCATTGGTCTGACCATACTCGCCATTCTTCAGAGATCTTTAATATTCATAGTTGATACTAAACTTTGAATTTAAATTTAAAACATGTTGCTATATGTACATTTCAGATTCTAGAGCAGTTATCAGCAGCATCATAATAAAAAGATTTATAGAGGCCAGGAGTAGTGGTGCCTACCTAATACTTAGAAGGCCGAGGCAGGCCAACCTTGTCTCCATAGCAAGTTCCAACTGATGCTACATAGTGGGACCCTGTCTCAATAAAATCTTTTTATAAAATAAAAATTACTTTTCACCGAGAGCCTATTCATACATCCTGCTGGTTTTTTTTTTTTTTTTTTTTTTTTGTAGTTGGCTTCTAGAATATGATTCTGTGAAATTAAGATCCTGTTGGAAGCCAGGCAGTGGTGGCGCATGCCTTTAATCCCAGCACTCGGGAGGCAGAGGCAGGCGGATGTTTTTGCTCTTTTGGGGGCCCTCCACCCAGCTCCCAAATAAATCATACATGGAGGCTTATTTTTAATTAGAAATGCATGGCCTTAGCTTGGCTTATTTCTTAGCTGCGTTTCTTGACTTAACCCATCTGTCTTTTGTCTCTGGGCTTTTCCTGTTCTCTTACTTCTGTAAATCTTATTCTCCTTGTTGTGTAGCTGGGTGGCTGACCCCTAATGTCCTCTTCCTTCTCTGGCTACTTATTCCTACTCCCAGGTTTCTCCTTCTATATATTCTTTCTTCCTGCCAGCCCCACCTATCCTTTCCCCTGCCTTGCTATTGGCTGTTCAGTTCTTTATTAGACTGTCAGGTATTTTACACGGGCACAGTAACACAGCTTCACAGAATTAAACAAAAGTAACACACCTTAAAATAATATTCCCCAACAAGATCCTATTTGTTTTGTTTATGTTTTTGACACAGGGTCTCACTGTGTAGCCTTGGCTGGCCTGGAACCCGCTATGGAAACTAGCCTGGCCTCGAACTCCAGATCTGCCTGCCTCTTCTTGCCAGGTGCTGGAATTGAAGGTGTGCACCACCACCTGGCTGTTTATCAGCTTTATTTAAAAATCTTCTTAGTATAGTTATTAAAGAAGACTTCCCATGCCTGGTACAGATGTTTCTGTTAGGGTCTATAGCTCTTGTGGGAAGTATTGTTGGGGGCTTGGATTGCTGAAAGCAAAGCTTTTCGTAAGTGAGGAGTCCTGGGGCTGGAGAAATGGCTCTGGTTAAGAGTACTGACTGCTCCTTTTCCAGTTCAGAGGACCTGTGTTTTTCTCCCAGACCAGCGTGGCCGCTCACAGTTCCAGTTCCAGGGAATTCAAGGCCCTTTTCTGGCTTCCACAAGCACCAAGCACGTAATTGGTATACAGACATACGTGTAGGCCAAACACCTATCTATACACATAAAAGTACTGAGTGGTGTTTTTAGGTAGAAGCCATTTTCATGATTAACATTTTCTTTGGGTGAATGTGTTACACCAGCTCTGTGAATGCAGAATCATTGGTGTTTGAGTTTTCTGAACAAAAAGTTGTAAGTTGGCTGCTAATTTTTGTCTATTCTGGAATCTCACCTTTTTTTGGGCTGCACTAGAGCACTGGGCAGTGGAAAGAAGAAACCCAGGAGGCAATGGGTTTCTGAGGTCATTCCCATCCCTGTCACCGATGCTATGCCTCAGACAAGGCTTCCTCTTTGCTGCCCTCCTTGAGACAGGATGTGGAGAGGGGTCTTCTAGCATTGAGGTGTTAGATACTTGCAAGGATGGAGATAAATGTTAGCTTGTTTATCACTTTCACTGAGAGCCTTTCCATTTTTATTTTAGCCGAATAGGTGAGGGACTTGATCAGGCTCTTCCCTGTCTGACAGAGCTCATCCTCACCAACAACAGTCTAGTGGAGCTGGTAAGTTGAATGGAGAAAGCTATATTTATTTAAGAGGAAAGGTAAGGATGCTTTTGCCTCAAAATATTATCTCTGAGTTTCTCTTTGTTTTGTTTTGTTTTTTTCATAATTATTTCACTCTTCCGAGCCTTTGGTTTTTTAATGTTTGTTTTTGTTTAATTTTGGTTTGGGTTGTTTTGGTTTGTTTTTTGTGCTGGAAATTGGCAAGGCATTTGGATAATGTATGTCGAAGATCTCTGTCGCCTCCGGTGTGCCTTTTGGTTTTTGACCATATTGGGTGTCTGGGTAGGAAAGTTCCCATACAGTCTTATCAGTCATTATCATTAGTGTTTCTGATGTTCTGTCGAGACTTGCCTTTTCCTTCCATGTTGTGCAGGGTTGCAGTGTGGTACCATGCCCAGCACCGCTCCCTCCCACCCCCTTTTTAATCCATCGTGTCCTATTTGTGCTGGCCATATGCTCTGGGGTGTGGGGCCATCTACAGGAAAACGGTTGACCTACCAGGAGCCCACCCTTCAAGAGTACTGACTTCCCTCCGCTAGTTGCTCCAGCTGTGGAAAGTTCCTAGGGTAGAGGTGGCTGCTGTGAGCACCCCTGCTCCCCCGCTTCCATGCTGGAATGTTGACTGGCTTGGTCTGGTGCCGATGACCACAGCTGCTCTGAGTTCATGAGTGCAGTGGTCCTGCCATGTTCAGAAGACGCTGTATTGCCTGGCCTTTCCCCACCTCTAGCTCTTTTGGTCTTTCCACTTGCCTCTCTTCCTCAGTAGTCTACGAACCTTGTGGAGAAGAGGTGTGGTATAGATGTCCCATTGTGGCTCAGCCCTGCAGAAACACATCCTCTCTACACTTTGGCCGGTTGGGAGTTTCTTCATATACTACTATCCACTCCACAAAGAAACTTCTCCGATGAGGGCCAGGAGCTGCACTACTAATCTGTGGGCATCGAGATACATATTTAGAGGGCGGTTTGATGCTGTGTCCACTTATAATAATAATAATAATAATAGGGTCAGCTCTAGGGCCTATGAGCTGCTCAACTGTGGGTTCTTAGCCCAGATTGATTGTGCCAGGCATGCATTTCCTCCTGTGGAAGTGGGTCTTAGACCAGATGAGAAGATGGTTGTTTATATCCTAACATTTGTGCCTCCACTTCGCCCATGGGTATATCTTGCCACGTGGTCGTTACTTAGCTGACAGTATTCACAGCTGGGTATGACTGTTGGTGACATTTCCCTCAGCAGCCTGCATAGAATTTCTGGTACTATGAAAACTAGCCAGTTGGGAGGAAGCTTCCTGGTCAGTAGTGCCAACTCGATTTCTCGTGTCCTGTCATGAAAATGTTTGGTGTCTTCACCAATAAGGTCTTACCATCCATCAAGTTTCTGGTAGGTAACCTAGATCAACTATTAGCCTGTATTGTATTTTGAGACAGTCTCTTAACTTTGTCACCTAGGCTAACTTGCAACTCCATATGTAGCCTAGGCTGGTCTTGAACTCACTACAGTCTTCCTGCCTTAGCCTCCCAAATGTGGGGACTATAGGCATGAGCCACTACACCCATCTTTAAAGCCAGTGCTCTACCAGCATACAGCTGGGGGTGTAGAAGTTCCCAAAAAGGGGTCTTTCTGGAGTCACTGCCTTGAGTGATAGATTATAGAATCAAAAATTGTATCTAGAACCTTTCGGGTGTTAGTTAAGCCCTGATCTACAGGCCTGGCTATTCTTTTTCTTAAACCCATCAGCATGCTGTCATGTTCTGTACTGTGCGTGTGTAACAGACACTTTTTTATTTCTTTTGGAGTCTCTTCATGGTAGTAAGCCAGTTTTCAAGCTCAAGTGCTCCCTCTGGTGGCATGAAGATGGCGGCTTGCTTTCTGAGAACTCTATTCTTTATCATTGCTTTTTAAAATTGTGAACCGCTTCACAAAGGTACATGTAATCCATTTACAAGGCCATACTGACCTTGTCTGCATCCTTCAGTTTTCGTATGTACTGCAGAAGTGAGTGCTCCTGCTTTCATCCGTGCTTTTTCCCAGTGTCCCTCTTGAGTTACTCATTTAGGTCTCCCAGATTTTTCCTTAGTGTAGAACTTTGTCCTTGCAGGGACACAGTTTGGCCAGCCAGGACCATATAGCAAAACTTTGTCCCAAATGGGAGAAAAGACAACATGAGGATGCACATTGCTGTAGCCTCGTCACCACCCCCTATCTGGATCTCCCTGTACTTACTGGAACATGCAGATCCTTGGGCAGCTGCTCTCAGACTGAACATCCGTTGGTTATTATGGAGTTGTGTGGTGTATTATACACCTTCTTTCCTTTCCTCTTCTTTCTGCACAAATGCTGTGCAAGTCTGCAGCTGGAGTCCCTCTTATTCCTACTACATGGGTTCCAGGAACTTCCTTGTCTAGTTGCTTGTAGCTTTGGATGGTGGGTTTTTAGTGTTGCTGTCTTTATTCCATCATGGTTTCCAGGACAGTTTGGGAAGACTTGAGAATACATAGCCATGGTTTGCCAGAACTCACTGTGGAAAATAGGTGGCCTCGGACTCACTGAGTCTGTCTGGCTCTGCCTCCCGAGTGCTGGGATAAAGACATGTGCCCCCATGACTGGCGTCCATAGTTTTTTGAACTGTACTATTCACTATTGTCTTTGCAGAGATGGGGGCAGGCTTGGCCTAAGATAACTAACAGTGCCTTCTCTCAAAGATAATATGCTCCGCCAGGCCACTTGGGATATACTAACAAGAAAGGACATTTTGCACCAGGTATGGTGGCATAGACCCATAATTCCAACACTTGGGAGGATCAGGATTGAAGATCCTCCTAGGCTGCGTAGCCAGTTCAAGACCAGCCCAGGCTATAGGAGATTCTGTCTCAAACAACAAAAACCCCACATTAAACCAAGGTCTTGGCTTGAGGTTCCTGTGTAAATAGCTTGCTCCAAGTAAATCACCGATGTTGGCGTTGGCTTCATTTTTGAATCATTGCTTAGGAGCCATTTTGAGATTGCTATAGGAAATCAATTTTTTGTGTCTTCTATTGAAATAGGAGCTGTTACTACCAAGACTTAAAGAAGCTAGAATATATTTATCAGCTTATTAGGCGGAAGATATTTAGGCAATTGTGTTGTGTTAGTTTTGGACTAGGTGCCAGGGCAGTAAAAAAAATAAGTAAAGGATAATGTGGATACTTATTTTAAAGAGGCAGGCGGATCTCTGTGAATTCGAGGCCAGCCTGGTCTCCAAAGTGAGTTCCAGGAAAGGCGCAAAGCTACACAGAGAAACCCTGTCTCCAAAAACAAAAACAAACAAAACAAAACAAAAAGATACTTGTCATTTCAAAATACCAGAATAGTAGCGTGTCTTGTTCTTACTCTGACCCTTATTTTCTAGGGTGATCTGGATCCTTTGGCATCTCTCAAATCACTGACATATCTAAGGTATGGAAATGGCTTGTTGTAATAATAAAGTCCGTAAAGAACGCCATCAGGCTGCACTGAGCAGCTCTTCTGGAGGTTGTGTGTTGTTTGTGAGAGTAAACAGGAAGGATGTGTGCTTCCTCTTGACTGACAGTCATGACACTTTCAGATGACCCTCAGATGGAATGCTGTGAGTGTGACTGTCACTGTCCCTTTTTTATAGCATCCTAAGAAATCCTGTAACAAATAAGAAGCATTACCGACTTTATGTCATCTATAAAGTTCCACAAGTCAGAGTACTGGACTTTCAGAAAGTGAAACTAAAAGTGAGTATCGCATACTGGCTGGGAGTCATTGCAGAATTGGCCTTTTCTTTATACTTTCATGACTGATATTTTTAAAGTTACTTAATAAGTAAATGTTACCATTACTTTGAAATTTAATGTGTGGGAAAGAAAGCATTAAGTCAGGGTTGTTTGTTGTTCTTGTGGGGTTTTGGTTTTTGTTTTTATCTCATAGCAGTTTATGGTAGGGAGTTGTTGGCCATTCCAGAGTTGGCCAAATGTTAGAACTACCCAGGGGATTGTCTGCTTCGATGTGTCCCAACAAGGAGTGTAGTATAATACGGCTTTGAGCAGCTCTGCCTCCTAGAACGGCTTTTCCTTTGTTGGAAGCGCTAATTGTCTGTAGTCCTTTGGGAATCCCTCTGAAACTAGAAGGGGGATTGTTTGAGAGCTTTGCCTGAGAAGGTCGGACCCCTGTGTCTCCTAGTGGAAGTTGACTTTGGGTGTTTTTACCAGCCCAGAATACTTGAGGAGAATGCTCTTCGGTGTTTTCTAAGGAATGCATCTAAATGCATGTGGTATTCCTGTTTCCATTAACTCTGTGTGTGGTGTCGCTGTAGGAGCGTCAGGAAGCAGAGAAAATGTTCAAGGGCAAACGGGGTGCACAGCTTGCAAAGGATATTGCCAGGAGAAGCAAAACGTAAGACACGGATATCCAACTTAACTCCACTTCACCTTCAGAAACACTGTTGTCTGGCAGTTTGCCGCCTCCAAATTCAACCCAAATCTGTGCTTAGTGTGGTATTACATTTGAATGATGGTATCTGGCCGTTTGTGGTCTGTGCATCATGGGAAATTTCTACCAGGTTAACAGAGCATATATTTTGGTTTACCATCTTAATGTGATATTAAACATCCTGTTTTCTCTATCAGAAAATGGATCGGGTGGTGTTTCTGAAGGAGAGAGTTCTTGTATCAGTTTGTTAACAAAGATAAGATACTACACTGGTTGAATTACTTTCAAAAGCTTTTGAAAGTAAGAGAAGCAGTTTGTACTAGTCAGACTCTAACGGTTTGTTCTCCCTTCCAAGTTTTAATCCAGGTGCTGGTTTGCCAACTGACAAAAAGAAAGGCGGGCCATCTGCAGGGGATGTTGAAGCCATCAAGGTAAGGATGTGTGTGGGTTGTCAGACTGGAGAGCTGAGATGGGACCAGGGCAGTGGTGTGGCCTAGGTCTCAACACTGTAGATCCCATCGTCTCATGGTTGTTAGGACTCTGGTATTTCTATTTCAGGAATAAACTACCTGAAGTTACTGTTTGACCAGACTTTGCTCTGAATCAAATGCATGAACTAATGGAAGGCGTCTGTGGGTCTCCTTCTCCTGGGATGCACTGACTCCTATGAGCACTTAGTAACCTTGGTGTGCAGTCTTAGAGTCTCTGCTTCCCAGGATTTGCTGGCTGACGACTCCTGTAACAGGACTCCAGATACTTAGCTTGAATTTTAGGGCATGTGAAGTGATTGCTTCTTCCCCAGTATAAGAGCCTGAATCTCTTCCTAAATATTGAAAATTGATGGTGTGTTTTCTAGGCTGATGTTCAATGTGCCAGTGAAATTCTTCACCCAACGCAGAACTGTGTGGTTGATGTTCTATGGGGAAGTTGCTAGGACTTTGTGTAGTGTCTTCTGGGTGGCTGTCATCATCCATCCGTCTCCCTCTCCCTGTGTTTTCCAGAATGCCATCGCAAACGCATCGACGTTGGCAGAGGTGGAGAGGCTGAAGGGCTTGCTACAGTCCGGCCAGATCCCTGGCAGAGAGCGCAGATCAGGTCAGAGACTCTTGTGTGTGGCCTTGCAAGATGTCCCACTGGGGATGATTACAGAGGAGTACCTGGTGGGCATGACAACACAGGCCTGGGATCCCTGTATTTGGGAGGTTGAGGCAAGAGGATCAGGAGTTGAAGTTTGAGACCAGCTTCAGCTACACGAGACCCTTTCTCCAAAAAGAAAAAAGAAAAGGAAAGAAGTAGGGAGGCAGGACAATAAAGTTAAGCCATTGGGATATTTGTGGGGTCTTTACAAGTTGTAGCAAAACATTCTATAACATGAAAAGAACAAAGTTCTAGAGGTGGTTGTGAACTTCTAAGTCAAGTGCTATATAACGGACATTTTGATCAACTGACACATTGCATATACAATAGTGATCCTGTAAAGTCACAGCTTAAAAATTGTTCTGCCTGTTTTTTGTTGTGTTGTGGTTTTCTTTGGGGGGTGGGGACGGGTTCCCAAGACTGGGTTCCTCTGTAACAGTCCTGGGTGTCCTGGAACTCACTTTGTAGACCAGGCTGGCCTCGAACTCACAAAGATCTGCCTGCCTCTGCCTCCCAAGTGCTGGGATTAAAGGCGTGCGCCAC